GGGGAACAAGCAAGTCATGCANGTTTCCACACCACCACTGCAGTACAATGGGCAAGTCACCAGCATGAGAACCTCAACATAGACTGACAAACCAACATGACATAGATGGCAAGATGAGAAAGCAGTTCAGAAACAGCAGGAAATTAAAAAGTCAATTTGGCTCATGTGTGTCATTCAGAACCTCTGCCCGTTACATAGTGAAGGTGGGTCAGTCCAAACAGTGAGGAATAAACAGTTTCTGAGTATTCTGAATGGAAATCTGCCTTAAAATTCATGAGGCCTAAACCTACCCACGTCCAAATAACGAAAATAAAAATCTATTTACTACTCTATTTTTATGAGTTTTTCAAACACATAATAAAAAAAAATCTGCAAGCAATAAAATCGTTAAAAAAAATTTAAAAAAAAATCGATAAACATACATGTAATCTGCTTGGCAAAAGTTATACCAGGGGAACATTCCTGCAGTTCTAATGTCCCCCCCCCCTCCAAAAAAACAACAACATTATATACCATTAAATAATGCAGCGAGGGTGCACACAGGCTCTGCAGGACATCAAACATGCATGAGGGGCAGCCGGGGTTAGGCTGGGACCAGGCAGGACCTCCCAAGGCTTGGGACTACAGGCTACACCTCATTTCCTTAGTTCTCTGACATTTTCATGTAAAACAGCGGGCTGAAAGATACCTTCACTCTTTGAAGCAGCAAGCACAATTAGGAGCAGTTTTTCCTCTGTTTTTTTGTTGGTCTTGCAGTTCAGAAATCTATTTTAAAATTCTATAACCAACAAATTGAATGGATGAGGCCTTATAGCCAGACAATGTGCCTGCTGGCATGTGGAATAACACAGGAGACCTTCATAGTTATGTGCCATGAAACATGCATGAGTTTTCCCCGAGTTGCACTAACCCTGTAGTTAAGGCAGAGCCGGCATGGCTGGTGACACGCACTGTCACAGCAGCGTCATGAATTATACATCTGACTCATACTGATGTATGGGTGCAGCCACAGAGGGTGTTTTACGTACGTTTTACCAGGGAAACAGCAGGGATGTAACAAACAGTTTTCTCCAAGGCAGCAAAGCTGATGTAATGGTTAATGTCACAGGAAGGGGCTGACATAGGCACTTGTTTCATTGATCTCTTTGGGCAGACATGATGATGTCATCAGGTGGTTTTGTTGTGGCGATTGTTTAATTGATCCAGTGTCAAATTTGTGCTGCTGACTTTTGTTGTTTCCGGACTCTGACGTTATTTTTATATGAAGTTCATGATGAATGAAAACGTCTTTCCATTGTTTAGAACATTTTTTTAATTTTTCTAAATCTATGTCAGCTCTCACTCAGCATTAGCAGCAGGACTGCCTTAGTAGACAGAACGCTGTCAGAGTTTTGCGCTGAGGAAAGAATTAACTTCACGTTTGAATCTTTGTCTGTCCCTGATCTTAGCGATCTCCCTTGGAAGACTGTTCCAGAGCCTAACAGTTGTTGGAACAAAAGTTCTCATATGACTGTTAGTGTGGGAGACAGGGACCACCAGAGTGTTTTCATGATGGGATTTTGACTGGCGTGTCACCCGCC